TTATCATCCCGGCAAGGACGGAGTCCCGGCGAGAGGAAGGAGAGCCAGACTGGCACGGATGGACTGAGGGTCCTCTTCTCCTCTGGGTAGACCCTCTCTTCGAATTGCCCCCCCCCCCCAACCACCACTCCCTGCACACAGAAGGGTTTCTCCAGACGACTCCATCAGAATCAAGGACCGGCATGGGCATCGACTGGCAGTCAGCTGCACCAGCCAGGAGCCGACTTCCCACAAGAGAGGCTGGCAGGTGGCCTGTGGCTGGAGGGGGGCACGGGAAGCCCCACCTGAGCCTGAAAGGGGGGGGTGCTGTTCCAGAAGAGGGGTCTCCAAACTTGGCCACTTTTAAGACTTGCGGACTCCAATTCCGAGAATGTCTCAGCCAGCTATGCCCAGTGTGGTCAGGCTGAGGCATTCTGGGAGTTGGAGTCCACAAATCTCAACCTTGACCACCCTGCTCTAGGCCAACCTGGGGGACCACAAGCAAACCATCACCAATGCCAGCCAGTTTTCCAAAAGGGGAGCCATAGGGCAAGAAGAGCTGCTGGCAGGGGCCTCAGCATCTTCCCTCCCGGAGGTCTCGGTGGCTTCCAGCACAGGGGTCTTTGCCCCGTCTGCCTGGCTCCCCCTGCCCCCCCTCCAAAAGGCTACCCAGGCCAGCTGCTGGTGCAGTTCCAAGGTCAGGACTCAGGGGAGGAGGAGACCACCCTGCTGCTCCGGGTTTTACCTTCCCCATTCAGCCCAGGTCACCATGACGCCCCACCCCCTGCACCTCCCCTGGGCAGAGCCAGCCAATGGCAGCCCAGTATGTAAATCAGCCAGGCCACAAGAGAATGGGGGGGGGGAAGAGGTGGGGGGCAGGCAGGGGAGGCCAAAGCTGGGAGGAGGGAGGGAGGGAGGGAGGGGCAGGGGCTTTGTTTCCAAGGTCCCTTGGAGGGCAGTCACCTCCAGACGCTCAAGGGGAGGCGGCTGCCCCACAGCAGGAAGAGGGACACTGACCCCCAGGCCCCTTGCGCCTCCTCCTCCTCCTCCTCCAGCCCTGCTTCTTCCAAGGACCCCACTGCCATGACCCTGGTTGAGCTGGGGAAGGGGGAAGGGAGCCCAGAGCAGGGCCTTCATCCCCGTCCCCCCCCCCCCCCCCCCCCCCCTCGCCAGAACCTGCACAGAGCAGCTAAGGGGGCAACTGGGACTTAGGTGGCAGTCCTCAACGGATGGGGAATCAGTGCTGCAGCC